TCCACGCATCTTTTCCCTTTGACAGAATCTCAACTTCCACCTAGATTAAAAACCGGAGACCTGTTACTTAAAAAGCAAATGTCAAATCCAACAACGAATGCAGTACAGTATATATTATAGTAGTGATCATTGGTTAATAGTAGTACTGTATGCAATTCCGGTAGCCATTATAACCTTCAATATTTTCCTTAGACCATGGGAGCAACGAGCCAAGGGGGAGATGGCATTCTCCTGTTAAGTTTCCCCCGCCCCCTGTAGAAATCAAAATGATAATTGAAAAATGAATTTTTCTTAATATATTTTCTATATATTTGTGCTGCTTTTTACCTATTATCAATAGCAGCTTCTTTATCAAACCATGGTTTATTCTCTCCTCTAATATATATTTTTTACCAATACCTTCAGCAGATTTGATAACAATGTTTTTCCATGAATTCCACAAACCATCAGCAGTATTAAAAATATTAGTATCCCAGTCCATGAAACCCTTCTCTAATTGAGCTTTATACAGTATCTTCTCCAAATATTCCAAATTTTTTTTTTACAGCATTGATCAATTTTATAACTGAAATGTTGTATATTTAGTTTAAGAAGCAGCATGTTATGATCACTGGGTGTTGGGCACGGGCCCTCATCCCCCCACCCCCGCTGCATCCGCGCCTGCACTGCCCAATCCAAGTTTTTTTCTTCATCAGCAATCCTTTCCGAGATAAGGAAATATCCGGGATGTTGTCCGAGGTGAGTTTTTATTGTGTATATAATCATATGCTCTCTAATGGCATTCCAGGGATGTTTTAATCTATTTCGTGAATATCTAGGCCTACAGTACCCAGGTACATATTTCATGAATATCTGGTGTATTTAGACAAACAATATTCCAATCCTCAAGAAGATTGGCCGGGATAATTTCGTATAATCCTGCAAGTACATTCGCATATTTGGACCCAAGGGTTGCATGTTGCACAAAAATAAGTATACCAAATTCAAAAGAAAAGCTCAAAAATTCCAGAATTTCATTAAATTTTTCCTAAAAGATTCTAGCATTTTTTAATAATTAAAAAAAAATGTTATGTATTAAAATACTCTTAAAGTAAGACCATTTGGCAATTTCCAGAGAGGAATCTAGAGTAGCTAGATCTTTATTGTATACTCAGTCCAACCTTGGTGCATGCTGAGATGTTTGCCGAGACACTTGGCTGGTAATTACCCCTCTACTTATTTTACAATTTCGCCAAAAGGTATTTATCTACCTTAAAATTGTTAACAAGCTAAAAAGCAAAAATTAAGACGCACAATATATGTTACGTCTAACAGTGATGTATCCCAGATTTTATCTCTCAGTCCAGCCTCGCTCAACCATGTAATATTCGAAGTCTGAGAATTCTATTTCCAGCAATTAAAAGGCTGTTCCCATCCTTAATATTTTTTTTGTAGCTGAGGCAGTAGTAGCACATAATTTATGTATTATGTGAAGAATCGATTAATAAAGCCTTTGAAAAATCAAAATTATCATTGTGGGGTGTCTCCCCAAGACGAATTTTGAAAGCTTTTGTGAAACGCCCGAGCACTCCCACTTTGCTCTCTTTAACGACATCAGAGCCCTTCTCCCCCCGTTGGTCAAATCCTGGCGCTACCCCTAGGCTGAGGTGACAGGCCTGTATTCATCCCTCCCTATTTTTCCCTCAAAAAGCACAAAAACGTATTTGATCTAATTTAAATATGAACGACATAATGACAAATTTTAGAATAAATATTTACAAAAAATTGTGTTGCTACATCATTGATTTGTTTTCACCTCACATTAAACCATAATAGTTGGATTTAATAGTTGGATTTGTAGAGCGCATCATGCGAAAAAGCCTCTATGCGCTTAACCATGGTGGGGCTGAAATCAGTGTAGACTTGTATTTGCACTTTTCTCCTATTTGATGTATTTAAAATTGAACGTCAGCAATACTGTCAAATTAAAACACGTTTTTAAGTATAAAGAGTGCTATCTTCACGTTCAGCTCCAACCGTAATAAGACAGAGGTGGGTGTAGCCCTTCTAGTACTTCATCCCCTCGGAAATTGTTGAAGTGGTAGGTGGAATAACCATGTTAACATTACATACAATTAATAAGTAAATAGGAGAATGTTGACAAATTGGTTGCATCTACGATAACAGATTAACTTTATTATACTTGTTATAATTGGTAGATACACAAAGATACAACTTACTTTAATTGAAATGTACAAACAAATTTTAAGTAATATTGAAATGTTTAAAATATACCAGATAATTCAATAAAAGAATATGAGTACTCATTACAACATTAAAATACAAAGGGGAAATGTACAAATTAAAGTCAACTTTACATCATAATAAAAGTGTTAAATAATATTCATAGTTATTTGTAGACAACACTATCATGTTGAAATGCAGAATAGACTTAGTTCTCTCGGTGTGAAACTTAGTTCTTTACCTTTATACTGATCCCCAGTGGTCCTGCCAAAATTTCCAAAATTCCATAGGGAAAGGAAAAAGATGCATGGAAATTTTATAAAGGGGACAATTATGATGTGGGCGGAGGTACTCTCGGATTGTTCTCTAGTTATAATTTGAAGTGGTAGGTGGAACAGCCATATTTAACATTACATACAATAGTAAATAAGGAATGCTGACAAATGGGCTGCATCTAACAGATTAACTTTATTACACTTGTTATAACTGGTAGATACACAATAATAGGGCCTACAAGTTACTTTATTTGAAATGTACAAATACATTTTAAGTAATATTAAAATGTTTAAACTATACCAGATAATTCAATAAAAGAGTATGAGTACTCATTACAACATTAAAATACAAAAGGGAAATGTACAAATTACTGTCAACTGTGCATCATAATAAAAGTGTTGAATAATATTCATAGTTATTTGTAGACAACATTATCATGTTGTAATGCAGAATAGAGACTTAGCACTCTTGGTGTGAAACTTAGCATCAATAATTAACCATTCAATGTTAACGAAACTATTAGAATTATAAAAGGTCTTTACATTTACACTGATCCCCAGTGGTCCGGGCAAAATTTCCAAAAATGGACAAAAAAAGGAACATTTTATCATTTCGGTTTTGCCTATTAGTTTTTAACTAACGTATGCATACTGTAACATGGGCGGCGCCAGCAGGGGGGGGGGGGGGGGGGAGAGCAGGGGCTTAAGTCCCCAACAGGCAGACAGAGCTCGTCGGGCAGTTGGACTCTGGCTGAAGATATATCCTGGAGCCGCCACTGATGCATAAGGGAATATGAATATAAGATTATAGGAATAGCTAATAAAAACATACTGTAGTTGTTAAATACACCACATTATGTAAAAATTACCAATAGTTGTGACTCATAAGCTGATATCAGAAAGTTGCTGTTTGATCCCCTCTAGTTTTATATATACTTACTGTACATTTTTACAGCAATATGGCTACGTTTTATTGGATGATAAAGTGTTTTATTCAGACATTAAACAACATTAATGAATCCATATGAATATTTTTTCTATTTTGGGTTATCACAATGTTTGCTTAAGATAAAAAAAAAAAAAACAACAAAAAATTTCAAAATTAGGAACTATACATATTTAATAAAAAACAATATATTTCATACCATATTGTACTCATTATTTAATTAGTTGTGATTGGGATTCAAATAATAACCAGCAAACCATAAACATTGTAATAAGATTTTATATGTTTGTATATTTTCGACTTATCTCATTAAGTATAAAGTTGCTCTTGTCGAGTTGGAAGTCAACAGACCATGTCCGATCAACTATATTGTAAAGTGGAATCCATCAGAAAAAAAACAATGTGATTTATGATTTCCAGCACAAGAAGATAAAGTAAGATAAAAAGGCAGGCTACTACTATATAGCTTACAGTAACTGTACTTGCTTTATCTATTAAATACCTTAAATACACTTAATCATATTGCTTAACAGTTATTAATGAATCTTACATATGTTTTCATTCGTTTTTATACGAATAATTGTTGTTGCTCAATAAAACGTTTAAAACACATATACAGTGCTGTTAGCTCACTCCTTTGACGTCTTGTGACCCACGACATGTGTGGAACACAAAAAATCAAATTTCAGTCTTTCTTTACATTTTTTCATTCTTAGGAATGTCTAAATTCAGTTAAACTTGCAATTCCGTATTATATTTATAAATCTTTATTATTAACATTATACAAATACAAAAACAGTTTTCTTAACAACTGATATTTTGCCGGGAACAGGGCTTTAATCATCAAATTAATATTTACAAAGAAAAAGTAAGATACAACACCTTAATGATGATTACGTTAGAAATTGGGATCAACGGTTTGTTAGTGGTGAAATTGTCGTTGGGTTGAACGCATTTTGCAACGATAGCAACAGTGTAGTATCGTGACGTACTGTACTCTATAACCAGTAATTTACTGTTCAGTTTATCCACTTAATAGGGAAGCTGTATTTTATAATGTGCTATTCGGAACTGCCAATCAAATAATATTGTAAAGGCTAAACAATCATACTCATCTATCAAGATAAATGCAAGTAAAACAAAATGTTTCAAAAATAAGTTAGTTGATTGGTCAAATTTCAAAAACAAATATTTTAACTAGCTCCTAGTATTGGCAATCGATTATTGTTTTTATAACCAATAATTTACTGTTTGGTGTATCCACTTTGATAAAGAGCCAATCATATACTACAAAATTTTATTTCAAAAATATGTTGTTTGGTAAACTTGCTGCCACTGCCAGTATTGTCAATTGATTATTGTGTTTAAATTTGTTAATAAAAGTACGCCTATATTACCAAGTAGGGAGATACATCAGGACTCTACTTCATAATATTTGTTTAATTTTATTTTTATTCTTTTTTATAATCGTCCAACAGGAACTCTTCATTCAAACTTACAGGCAAAAATTCCAATAAACAATAATATAAAATTAACAATAATGATAAAGAAAGAGATTATGATTCAATATAGAATTTATTTTCAAATATATATTTTAGCAAACAAAAGCCATATAAAATTCAAAATACAAAAATAACATTACAAATGTACAATGCAGTGTCATTTAACTTTTGATAGCCCGATTTTTGTTTCTCCCCCTTCTGATCTCTCCCTGAAATAACTAGCAAAATATACCACATTTAATATCAGTTAAAGGTTATTGCCCTCAAGACTAAGCTTTCATTATCATCATCATATCATTTAAAAGAAAAAAAAAAAACACAATTATTCAATTTATAACATTATGCTCATTAACTCAGCAGAAAATTTACCATCAATACCCCAAAGGTCATTTCCCTTTAAACAAAGCATGTTATTTTTCAGTACTACACTCCTCTTACGACATTCCTCCATCATATCATTAATTATACTACCTGATAAACTACAATGTCTCAAGTCAATACTGATCAGGTGTGTACAGACCTTAATAAGGCAAGCTAATGTTTTTCCATTGATTGATGATAGGTTGATCCCCCTCATGTCTATCCTTTTCCACTTCAATGTCTCATTCTCACCTACTGATTCTACCAGCTTTTCTAGATTATTAGCGGTGAGTGAGTAATTGCTCCATTGAAATGGTAAAGTATCTGGCTGATAGATTACCTTATGTAACTCAACAAGTGATTTACCATCAATATCTGAAAGGTTATTTCCCTTCAAACTAAGCAGGTTACATTTCAATGCTACATTCATCCTACAACATTCCTTTATCATTTCACTAATAATACAACCTGACAAACTACAACGTTTCATGTAAATACGGGTTAAGTTTGTAGAGATCTTACAAAGACAAGCTAATGTCCTTCCACTGACTGAAGATAGGTTAATTCTACTCAAGTCTATCCTTTTCCAATTCAATTTCTCATTCTCACCTACTGATACAACCAGCTTATCTAGATTATCAGCTGTAAGTGAGTAATCACTCCATCTAAAGAGACCATAAGGCTGACTTGCAAACTTAGCAATTGATTTACCATCAATATCTGAAAGGTCATTTTCCTTCAAAGTAAGCAGGTTATCTTTCAATACTACATTCATTCTATGACATTCCTCCACCATTCCATTAATTATACTACCTGATAAATTACAATGATTCATGCCAATATACATCAGGTGTGTAGAGATTTTAATAAGGCAAGCTAATGTTCTTCCACTAATTGAAGATAGGTTAATCCTACTCATGTCTATACTTTCCCAATTCAATGTCTCATTCTCACCTATTGATTCAACCAGCTTTTCTAAATTATTTGCTGTGAGTGAGTAATCACTCCACTTAAATGTATAACAATTAATTACCTTAAGTAACTTAGCAAGTGATTTACCATCAATATCTGAAAAGTCATTTCCCTTCAAAGTAAGCATGTTATCTTTCAACACCACATTCATTCGATGATATTCCTCCATCATTCCACTAATAATACTACCTGATAAACTACAATGACTCATGTCAATACTGATCAGGTTTGTAGAGACCTTAATAAGGCAAGCTAATGTTCTCCCACTAATTGAAGATAGGTTGATCCTCCCCATGTCTATCCACTTCCAATTTAATGTCTCATTCTCATCCATTGATTCTAGCAGTTTTTCTAGATTATTAGCTGTGAGTGAGTAATTACTCCATTGTAATCGAGAAGTATAATAAGAATAAAAAATTACCTTAAGTAACACAGCAAGTGATTCACCATCAATGTCTGAAAGGTTATTTCCATTTAAATTAAGCATGTTACACTTCAATACTACATTCATCCTGTGACATTCCTTTATCATTTCACCAATAATACAACCTGACAAACTACAATGACTCATGTCAATATGGATCAGGTGTGTAGAGATTTTACAAAGACAAGCTAATGTCCTTCCACTGACAGAAGATAGATTAATTTTACTCATGTATATATTTGTCCAATTCAATTTCTCATTCGCACCTACTGATACAACCAGCTTTTCTAGATTATCAGCTGCAAGTGAGTAATCACTCCATCTAAAGAGACCATAAGGCTGACTTGCTATCTTAGCAAGTGATTTACCATCAATATCTGAAAGGTCATTTCCCTTCAAAGTAAGTGTGCTATCTTTCAACACTACATTCATTCTATGACATTCCTCCATCATTTCATTAATTATACTACCTGATAAACTACAATGACTCATGTCAATATGGGTCAGGTTTGTAGAGATTTTAATAAGGTAAGCTAATGTTCTTCCACTTATTGAAGATAGGTTAATCCTCCTCATGTCAATCCTTTTCCAATTTAATGTCTCATCCTCACTTACTGATTCAACAAACTTTTTTAGATTATCAGCTGTAAGTGAGTAATCTCTCCATATAAAGAGACCATCTGGTTTAGTTGCTAACTTAGCAAGTGATTTAACTTCAACATCTGAAAGGTCATTTCCATTCAAAGTAAGCAGGTTATCTTTCAACACTACATTCATTCGATGACATTCTTCCATCATTTCATTAATTATACTACCTGATAAACTACAATCACTCATGTCAATATTGGTCAGGTTTGTAGAGATTTTAATAAGGCAAGCTAATGTTCTTCCAGTGATTGAAGATAGGTTAATCCTACTCATGTCAATCCTTTGCCAATTTAATATCTCATTCTCACCTACTGATTCAAAAAACTTTGTTAGATTATCAGCTGTAAGTGAGTAATCGCTCCATCTAAAGAGACCATAAGGCTTACTTGCTAACTTAGCAAGTGATTTATCATCAACATCTGAAAGGTCATTATTCTTCAAAGTAAGCATGTTATCTTTCAACACTACATTCATTCTATGACATTCCTCCACCATTCTATTAATAATACTACCTGATAAGCTACAATTACTCATGTCAATATGGGTCAGGTTTGTAGAGACCTTAATAAGGTAAGCTAATGTTCTGCCACTGACTGAAGATAGGTTAATCTCACTCATGTCTATCCTCTTCCAATTCAATGTCTCATTCTCACCTATTGATTCAACCAGCTTTTCTAGATTATCAGCTGTAAGTGAATGATCACTCCATATAAATTTATCATCATCATTATCAAGGTGACCAATAACACTGACTAACTTAGCAAGTGATTTACCATCAACATCTGAAAGGTCATTTCCCTTCAAAGTAAGCAGGTTATCTTTCAACACTACATTCATTCTATGACATTCCTCCATCATTTCATTAATTATACTACCTGATAAACTACAATCACTCATGTCAATATGGATCAGGTGTGGAGAGATCTTATAAAGTTTAGCTAATGTTCTCCCACTGATTGAAGACAGATTCATATCTATGATCATATATTCCCAATTGAATGTCTCCTCATCTACTGATTCTACCAACATTTCTAGATTATCAGCTGTAAGTGAGTAATCGCTCCATCTAAAGGAACCATAAGGCTGACTTGCTATCTTAGCAAGTGATTTACCATCAATATCTGAAAGGTCATTTCCCTTCAAAGTAAGTGTGTTATCTTCCAACACTACATTCATTCTATGACATTCCTCCATCATTTCATTAATTATACTACCTGATAAACTACAATGACTCATGTCAATATGGGTCAGGTTTGTAGAGATTTTAATAAGGTAAGCTAATGTTCTTCCACTTATTGAAGATAGGTTAATCCTCCTCATGTCAATCCTTTTCCAATTTAATGTCTCATTCTCACCTACTGATTCAACCAGCCTTTTAAGACTATCAGCTGTAAGTGAGAAATAGCTCCAATCAAAGTAATTGAGTGAGTTAACATTCTCATTTATCAACCAACGTCTAAGGAGTTTATAAGCTTCAGCACCAAGAAATCCGATGGTAAATATTCTCGTCATAGATAAAAAATTGTTACACAATATCACCTCATATTCATTAGAATTTAAATTTCCATTTTGGATTTGTTTATTCAGGTAAAATCCTGCTAGTGCCTCGGTAATTAATTTATGCGGGGTTGTGTAAATTTCCCTTATATATCCTGGCAGAATAGGGCTATCTTTATATACAAAACCAAGTTTCAGTGCTAAACAAACCAAATTTTCATTTTTTGCTATCTTTGTCAAATCATATTTGTCAATAGACAGTTTATTATCCTTTAATCTTTCATACATACATTCTCCTAATATTTTAATGGCCTCTGTATATATCTCTGGAATTCTGTCAAATTGGGATATAGGATTTTTTATGCCATCCTTGTTTTGGTATTGATTCAAGATAGCACAAAATAATTCCTTGAAAAGATCAGACAAATTTATTGGAAGGCATTGTTTATCTCTCCATATGTCACAAATCTTAAGCAATAACAGTGGAGACGAGCACAACTGAAATGCATTTTTGTGGAGACGACAACGAGGAATTCGAAAAATTAAGCCTTTATAATTTTGAAAATTATTATAAAAATCAACACCATCATCGCTACCACTATTTTCGTCATCGTTGTCGCTGTCATTGTCACCACCTTCTTTATCATCATCATAATAATAATAATCATCATCGTCGTCACTGTCAAAATCATTATCACTATCACTACTAAAGTCAACAATGTCATCGCTGCTGTCGCTGTCATTGCCGGCTTCATCACTATCATAATAATCATCATCATCATCATCTTCATCATGAAATACACCATTAGAACTCTCACTATCATTATGATCATCACGTCTGAACTCTGTAATTAGCGACATCCCCATTGCATCTTTACCGATTAAGCGAAAATGATTACGGATATATTTTTTAATGTTTTTTGGACTGAATCCCTTAACCATGATATGTACATCAGAGAATTTAATCAATTTAGTTATGTTGTCAGGTCGAGATGACATCAACACGGTAGATTTTCTCAATTCTTTCCCTTGAAATAGACCTATTGGATCTTTAGCATCTTTTTCTAACTCATCATATCCATCTAACAAAATCACTATTTCATCAGCATGAATGACCAGGAAATCTTCAACTGAATTAGGTGGCAATTTGTTCTCCAATATTAATTCTTTTAAATCAATTTTCTTCTTAACTATGTCAACAAATGATTCATTCGCTTTAATGTCTCTGATATTTATCAGAAACAGCAATTTATTAGCAAAGGCATTATATACACCATCAGTAGCCCACTGATAGGCAATATATCGAAGAAGGGTAGTCTTACCCATTCCTCCTTTTCCTGAAATTAATACCTTACATGATTCTGTTGATTTAATAACATCTAACACCTCATTTAATGATGTGGATCTACCTTTCAGTTTTATAGATGTTGACTTGGATTTTGATCTTCTGTCTTTTTTTATAGACTGCATTAACTTGAGTTCAGTAAATACTTCTGCAATATCTACTTCATGATCTTCGTGCCAGATTGTTGGTGTCATTAGGTTTACATCCTGATACAAATTTTTCTGCCTTTCAGTCAGGAAATCTGTAATAATTATATCTGGAAATAAAATCAAACAACAATAATATTTCTGCTATTAATATAAGATCATTACTTTAGCACAGAAATATTAGCAGCATATTTAAACTATTTTCAATATCACTATTTAGTATTACAAATTATAGCCTGTGATTTTATATAAAAGTATTATATTTTTGTTTAGTTTGAGATTTGTTTGTACATTATAAGAAAGCAGGATGTTACATATTTGATTTAGATTCTCTCCTGCATATTTAGGACAATAGTTTTTCATCAACAATTTTAACACACTTTGGCTCAATTCTTCCTGGACAACCTAAATTTGTGAGATTTAAATTATAGATTATACTATACAAATCCTTAGGTGAAAATACAGAATTTATCAATTAACTACTGAAATTTTGAGACATATTTACTGAAATGGGTACCAAGTTGAGCAACTCTAAACTACAATAAGAACAGCAAAACAGATTTTTGTTTTCTCCTTACAAAGTAATGTATTATCATTATTATCCATTTATACTACTTGTAACTACAACAATATTTAATCTTCGAATTTATTCTCGGAATGAAGCAATCCCATTGAGGACACTTATTTTTATCTTCTGAAATAAAGAGAGTTATTCACTACACATGCACTAGTACTGTCGCAGGTAACATGGAACAAAGCTACCTGTAACACTGCTAAGAAAATATATATACTCTAAGTATTGATAAGTGTGTAACCAATCAAAACAATACTCTAGTAGGTGACATAGCAGTGATTTAAACAGACTCTCTACTGATCAAAAGCTAACTACACTGCTAGTGTAGATATCTAGGCCAGACCGACTATGCAGCAAACATTGTACTGTATACACTAAACTCAATACAGCGTTTTTGCGATAGTTATGATTAGACTGCACATAGTACAAACCTTGGTCTAACATTTGTCTTTTTGATGTTGATGCTTCTCCACTACCTGTAAAAAATGGGAATTAGAAATTAAGGACTGGTATATTATTGTATCACATAAGAATATTAAGTGAAACTAAAAATATCATTGAGTTTTCAAAGAAACTATTGGTTAACCAGACATCATTACTTCTACATCTACTGTATGGTATTGTGTGTTGTGATTGGCTCTTCCATATGTGAATATAATTTAAAGTGTTATATGTTTTTAGTAATAATTTTCATTTCTTTTGTATCTTTTCAACAAATTCAGAATCGCCAACTATCGTTTTATGTTACAGTAGCATGATAACATGTAAAATTCTAAACTTATTGTGGGTATAGAAAATGTACTGAAAAAAGGTGAAAATTTATATTACTTTATCTTCCAAAATCCTTGGTTAATAAATTAAAATTTGGTCTTCCTTATTTTGAAAAGAAATAATTTGTGCTAAGATAAGAAATCAAATAAGTCACCAAATTGTTCTTGGTTTATAATTGATGAAACAGTTCTACAATTATAATATCAATCAATCAATCAATCAATTTATTTGGAAATTGCACCTTTGCATCGGTGGCACACACAAAAAGTGGTGCATCCATATTAAGAAAAACACAGCACGTCTTAAACTAATCTTACAGGCATTAAAGAATTATTAGATCCATGGAACTATCTAGGATCTACTACTACTGTCTCTTATACACATCTAGATGTGTATAAGAGACAGATACATACATACATATACATATATATATATATATATATATAAAAAGAAAAATACATACATATACACATATACATATTATACATACACATATATACACACAAACATATACACCCATACATATACACGACTTAAAAAGAAAAAAAAAAAAAAATACACATACATACATATATACGCATATACATACACACACACATATACACACACACACATACAAAAGACACACATATATGCACTTAATATACACATACATATAAATACACACCCATACCATACACAAACACATCTACACCCATATACGTATGCACCCAAATCACATAAAAAGTCAATTAATACTTAGAAATTACAATTTCTTAAAAAAACATTAAAAATTATAATAGTTAGAAACTTAACTATAAAAACATAGCAAAACATGCAAGGCAAATGAGATAGAATAGAATAAACAATAATATCAACAACTATAGTTCGATGATAATTCATCATGAGATGTTTATCATCAACGTTAATTATTTCTTATTTTATTTACCAGTTAATTTGCAATAAGTTTTTATACATATTTCATACAGTTGAGAGTGGGTTTCCATTAAAAAAGAAGAAAACTAATGGAAATTATGCGAACATTTTACAGTGTTTTAAACATAACAAAACAGATCTACCTAAACAGACATGAGGAATAGGCCTATAAACAAAGTATAGAAAAAAAAAAATCATTTATAGATACCAAGCATGTAAGAGTATCGGTAGTACTAGATTGGCATCGTAAACGTCTATTTAACATTTAACATTTTTGTACGTAAAACCCAGGCTTGTTTAATATAGCTCTTACAGAAGTAGTCAAATATACCAGATTAAACTATTTAAGATGAAAATATTTTAAAATAAGCTTTTATTGCCCAGTATTACACTGGAAATTTGTTTTCTCTTTCACTATAAGAAACACCTATTTCATAAAAAAAATACTGTTGGATATAAAATACATGTATATAAAATACATTTATTCATATCAATTACAAAATCGATATTAACCCATCGATACCTTAATGCATTAAACTTTATGGAAGGTTTTTTAGTAACAGAAAAATGTATTAAATAACTATTTACTAAAATTCTAAATACAGAAGTTTAATCACAAAGAAAATTTTTTTTTCCTAATTAAGTTTAATAGGTAGTGTAGAAAAAATATAAATTACATAAAATAAGTTTTCAATTTTTCCTTTTTGTAAGTAATTTTAATGAAAATGTTAAAAATAAATTTATAAATCATGAGCCGGCAGCCAGAATAAAAAAGAAATCTCAACATAATTTCAAAATAGTAGATATTATTGACTAAACAGTACAAACCTTTGTCAAACATTTGTCTTTTTGATGTTGATTCTTGTCCACTACCTGCAAAACACATTATAGTGAGTCAAATTTTTAAGTTTGTAAAGTTTTTTAGCAGTTAAGGTAAGAATACCAAATAGGTACAGTTGATTTTTGTAATCATTGTTGCAATTATCATTTCCACACTTGATGTACTTAATTTTGCAAGTAAATTCAATAAGTAAGTTAAATGCAAGTAGAATTAATTTATTAACATTTTAAAGAGCTTTATAGTAAGGTACTTCTGTTGATGACTGATAATAACTTACATTCTAATTCTGATTCACAATCACTTCATGGCAAGCATGTAGAATTGTCATTTAGTGTATAATAAAAATAATAATAATAATGTTGTATTTATATAGCGCATATTGCACATTGCCCCTATGCGCTTTACAGAGAAATAATATAGGCCAACTGAGAAAAAGCAAATAACAATAAAATAGTAACAATAAAATAAAATAAAAATAATCATAATAACAATAACAATGAGACTAAACTACTCCTATTCCTTAAACTAATTAATGTTTGGCCGTTGACTTCGAGGAGCTCATCCGCCCTTTGTTCAGCTATTGGTTTTTCTTGCTGCTGGGTGCCCATAAACACCCTCCCCTCAGCAGCCACTAAGACATTTGAGAGAGCTGTCAGTTTAGTCGCCGACGCTTCGACCCGATGGAGTTTAATGTCGTACCCAGGACGTCCCTAACTACCTTAAGCTATGCTTAACTACTCTTAAATACAGTATATTACTTTTAACTACAATTAGTTAAACTATCCCACGCCGGACACCATCCCGGTATTTAGCAGTTTCGGGGCCATTCTATAAACCATAACATAAGTTAGTTAAATAAATGGCTTCTGAGAAGAGATTTAAATGTAATGATGGAAGTTGCATGTTTGATGTGTAATGGGATGTTATTCCAGTTGGTTGGAGAAGCAAATGAAAAGGCACAATTGCCATATGACTGTGTGAATGCTTTAGGGGCATAGAAAACTATTTTAAAAAATGAATATTTCATTACCTATACAATTAGACCTAATTCGACATACTCTCTATCTGGTCAGCGGTCAATCCGATCAACTCGGCTTGGCCTACCCAAATGAGTCCTACCATCGTACGCCTTGTGTCGCAAACCCATCAATCGGGCAAGTTTGCGCACCAGCCATACTAGTTGCAGCCTGCTGGCCAGAATTTGATGCACTCCTTACTCTGGCAACATTCTAAAATCTGCATCTTATTTTCGAACAGCACCAAATTAGATGAGGACCAAGATACATAACATTGTCAATGTGTAAAAAATTTGGTAAAGTATAGTAAATCGATCCAGTAGTATTTGAGTTATGCACCCATAAGGAAACACATACACAGACATGCACTATTGTTCTGCCGATGGGATTGGGATAAGGGATACCCTGGCTATTGTGAAGGTTGTGCTTCATTTTTGATGATGGGTTACCAGATATCCTAGCTGACCATATTCAGACAATAATTCATTAAACAAATTCTATGCAAAAATTAGATAAAAAAAAAAATTGCAGCAAGTTTGTTATCTCATTTGTACAGAGTGCTTCATATTCACAATACAATTTTCTAATCATTTTCATCATATCATCATTGCACTGGTGTTAATGGACTTTCATAATAGTAAATATTATTTTTGACCTCGCAGTACAAACCTTTGAATAACATTTGTCTTTTTGATGTTGATGCTTCTCCATTACCTGCATAGAATAGAAATTAATACAAGCTTAATATGTGAAATATTAGGTGAACCACATAATTTGTTATAAACTAATACCCTTGTCAACATTTTGTAAATAGTATCAGGTATATGTAGTATGAAAATAAATCTACTGTAAATAACATTTTTGAAGCACTGAGCAACGGACCATTGTGATATCCAGGAAGAAAAACAGTCATCAATCAGGTCTGTTTTTTTCTAAGGAAATGTACCAAGTTATTCAATATGCATGCATTCGTACTCCATATGAGTAGCACCCTAAATACAACTTTCTATTCTTTTTCAGATTTTGCCTGATTTTGATGCTTGGTATGAAACAAATAAAATAACTCAGGAGATAAAAGTTGTTATATCTTGTTAGTTATTGTTAAAAATTGAAACATATTCTGTTACTGTTGGATTGAAAATGGTAGACTGATTATTTAGAGTCAGCACATGTTACTCCCCCATTCTGTGTTTGAAATTCAAATTTTCTTTATTTCTTTCACATTCAAAAGCAAGTATACTCGGCACTTAGAAGATGGAAGATTGCTTAAGTCCCCCCTGTAGGACAGCTTAGCCCCAACTAAAAACAAAAATTTATCCCAGAGCCGCCACTGGCCTAGGGTACAAAAAAAAATGGATTCTTTGTGGTTAGTATCTAAAATTCTAATTGCAAACCTATCGCTTCAGTTTTCAGACAAAATTGCACCTCTTGTCATGTCATGATATACTGGATATTGTTTAAGTTTGAGCTCATCTTTATAATTACACATATTCCATTTGTTCTTGTCATAAAATAATAATTTGCACCAAGTAGAGCTTTAGACCATTGCTCCCATGTTAGTGGGCCTTAAAAATAGCACATATCATTATTGACTGCATAGTACAAACCTTTGTCTGACATTTGTCTTTTCGATGTTGATGCTTCTCCACAACCTGCAAAGAATAGAAATTGAAAATTGTTACAATAGCATGATAATAACATGTTGTGAAAATATTAGGTATTGTATGAGGAATATGAGATATCCAGGGTGTTTGTTGTTAAGAAGGGTTTTGAAGGGCATTTATTTGAGGAAGGATTTTATAATTTTATTAGGTATAAAATGGATGTTCACATATAAACGCACCTTAATTTCACTGTAATTTTGGAAATACAACACATAATTACCTTCAAAATGTGTTACTGCGTGATCATAAAGACTTATTAATCCCGACCAGGTTAGAAAAAATGTATTTTTCACAGAAGTTGAATAATAGAATGTGTTGAGAATGATGTTGCTTCAATTAGTTTTGTTTGCAGTCATTTAATGGGTGAGTTTACTCAAGGAAAGCATTTACAGTAGAACCTCGATTTTACGTGTGGTACTGGACCGGAGGGTGTACGTAAATCGGAGGATTCATAAAATAGAGGTTGGGTTAAAATTTTTGGTAACCTTTGACCTAATGCGTACGTAACGTTCAATAAACGTATGTATGAATGAACGATGTTACCTAGGCTAGACCTAGCCTCCAGGCCTACGAATAAAACCATGTGTTTAGTGTTTTTATTCATCACTTTACGATGTCATAATAAAGTGTTCAAATAAAACTATGTGTCTAGTGTATTAATTTATCATTTTACATCTTTAACAATTAGAACATGAAAATATTGTAAGATTACCTATATGACAAAGGTATAACTTGGGAAATCCCCTTCATGCCTATTCTAAACAACAGAGCTGTGGTGTTGTCTGGGCCTGTTGAGACAAATTTAAACCGTGTGCTCTGCTCTGCTCTGGGCGAGCCAACCAATTAGCGTTCGTGTACGTGAAACAGCAACCATGTGCTATGCACTAGGCAAGCCAACCAAAGAGCGTTCGCATACAAAACTATGTCTACTCAGAGCTTCGTATAGAAAATTGAACCAGATGAGTTTTTTCATGGTTTGCCACACGAAGCTAAGGAGGAAAGTAATTATTTTAAGTACCATTGGTAGTTGTTCATCTCACTCAGTTTACATGGTTTTATATATTATAACAACCTGGTATTAGACTCAATCAATGCTGCTTTTTAATGGCAATACGTTGCATTATGGTTTGTTTATAGTTATAGTTTATTGTTATAGTCTTTTTACTTATGGTCATAATTTTTCATTTTTGTCAAAAAGTGTCTATAGTGGTGAATTATGGTTTAGGTGTTTTTTTAATAAAGTTTCAAAATGTCTATGTCTATGTTGATTACCAAATGTTACAATTTTTATTTTGAAGACTGCATGGTCTAGGAAGTGTACATTTTTTTATGGGGTAAGTTTCCAAGGGCGGGTTTTCTAGGGGGGAGTTGACTGCCAAAGAGTGTTGCCAAAGTGCGAGCCAGCGTGTTATTTGATCACAAGTGCGAGACATCGCAAGTGTGAAAGCCAGCGAGCCATGACGTCACGACAATAGATACGAGACGTTACTCGAGTTGTGCGAGGTATTGGCTGAGATTTGTGGAGTACAATTCAAAAAACATCTATAGGTCTAAAAATGAATTATTGTGATGTTAAATAGACAATGTTAGCTATCAGGATCGTCGTCGTTTTTCATTGAGACCTTCATCCTTCAAGGCTAGGCCTATACCATCCTAGCTAGTATAGAGTAGGATTAGACGTCGTCGCCTAAAGTAATTGATTTTACCCCGGCAGAACAAAGAAGAAAACTCTGCTTTTCAGTTGTCTTAGGCCCTTGTTTTTTGACAATGACCTTTCAAAGGTCAAATTGCTGTCAAGAATATGAATTGGCTGCTTCACAGCAATTACCATCTCAAGACATACTTGTTGTAATTTTTATTTTCAAATATATTAAGTGTGTTAAATGATTACGACATTTGTAGTTAAGAGGGGTCAAGGTTGATTAGCTATGCTGTATCCTGGCCCAAGATGGTACCCATAGCAATTGAAGAAACTAAATTGAGTTTAGTCAAATTAATTATCCTATATTAAATATTTTCCTATTTAAGCATGAATTGTTGAAGATACTTCAATAATAAATGTGATATTATTTTTGTGTACTATTCACTAACCTATGTTTACTTCATTCTCCTTCAAACATTGAAGAAATGTTGACATTTTATCTTCAGTTAAAACATCTGTTTCAAGGTCTTCTATCAATTTCCATTGATTAGCAAAAGGACGGTTGCCTCTGTATAGATGATAGATATTCACTGTTACCAGCAATGTGCAAGTATATTAAAATGCAAATTGTTAGAAAATACTGTTCAAACACTGATCATTCCACTCAAGCTCCTTAATTTGAACATTTAAGTTACTGTAGTCCTTCTACCCATGAGTCCTGCCATGAGTTTAAATGGTAAATAAGGTTCTTTACAGTCATACTCATGTATGACTGGAAAGCTATTCACTGTGTTTGAATGTTATGCTTTTCAAATAAGAAATAATTTGAGGACCTATAACAATTTTAAAATATCGAGAGTACAAGACTACAGGTACAGTATATAAATGCTTAAAATTAGGCATAATGATTTACCTGATTTCTTCATTTTTATTGTCAGATTTATACTTCTCACTGTGAGTTTACAAACTTTACAACAATCTGTCGAGTTACTTTCACACTGAAAAAAATAAAGGAAGATTTACTTTAATTTTGCATGCCTAAACATTGATGACCCTCTCAGCCCCAACATAGAAGGAGCCAACTTAAGAAAATGCACCGGTAAATTGCAAGGGTGATTGAAATTTTCAACAATGTTCTAAAGATAACTTACCAAATGGGTTTCGCTGATTTCTCTTATACACATCTAGATGTGTATAAGAGACAGACTCTGCCTTAATAGCCCACCTCCACTTCCGAGTTGTAGCATCTAATACATCTTATCTCATCTGTAGTTCAATGCATGACTTGGATGTCTTCCTAAAAGTTAAGTAAAGAAATTCAAAATAATCAGTGGGATTTGCAAGATATTGCATAATAAACAGAGATACATGTACTAGAAAAAAAATGAAGCTCTCACATAGCGAAATGAGGACCGGATACTTCATAGCTTTTACGACGCATCTTCAGATGTACTGTACACGGAAGTCTACTCTTAAATAGGCCAAGTAAAACAAAATAATTGGTTAGCATCCTTTTAGTATCAAATTTCATGGTAGGTTTATTTATTTATTTTTTTTGTTGTCGTAGAACATGAAAAACCAGCGTCGGAAGGAAAATTAGCAAAACAAAGAAGAGGAAAACAACAGACGCCAAAATTGGATACAAGAAATCATGTAATTCATCTACATCAAGCAGATAAGCTTTGCCTATATGAAAAAGTCATATTGAAATCCCTATATATGAAGTTTTAAAACATGCAACATTGTATATGTTTTAACAGAACTGATGATATCGATAACAAGTTTATAAAGCATTCCATCCTAAGTGGCGAGTGTAATTGCTGTTGGATGTGAAATTAAAAATAAAAATAACAACAGCAAAATAAGAAGATTGAAATTTATCAAAGTTGTATAATAATTCATTGTCCATTCATAAATAGAAACGTAATTTTTGAACTGGCATTTTGTACAATTGATTACTATTTGTGATTGTTATGTGTTTGAGTATGTACATCATTCCTGATGATGACATAAATAATGTCGAAATATTGAATCCCAACACGATGGCGTGTATTTCAATACTTGGAGTATGTATTATACTTTCTTATCTGAGATTAATCAGTGGACCTTTCGGAGTATGTACATATAGTGATAATACTCAATAGTGAATACTGTTAATGAGTTAGACTATTATCATGTGCTATGTTTATGCTGATAAACACTTTGACATCTAGTTGGACCAGCTGTTTGGAAACATCCATTCACGTCACTGTACCAGCATGTGAATATTCCATGCTTTGTGTTTAAGTTTGTGTTTGCTGGACATTAATTATAACTGGACCATACTGGGTTTGTTGTTGGAACAACACAACAGTCATCATTGATGCCATGCAGGGGTTTCGCCAGAAAAACAAAATAGACGGCCTATTTTGTTTTTCCAAAATGGAAGCCAGTGGGCGTGACACTGATCCGATGGCGGGCCACGCACATCGTTAGTAATCCCCATCGATTATTGGTACGAAAACGTACATTCAACCAATAAATGTTGTTTTTATCAAACGTAAATATGATTTACCTTTAGTTTAATGTAACATTCGATAGATTTGAAGAATATATAAAGAATTTGCTAAAGGTAGACCAGGCCCAATCAGACTAGGCCGAGCTGATTAGGATAAGCCGTCCTAAATAATTGTAGGCCATCCAAAAGACGGCCGGACGGCTCGCTCGCTAATATACGCATGCACTATCTCGCCACTATATTTCCAGTAATAAATTTATCTATGCTGTCCTACCTATGAAAGTTTTATCTTTAAAATTTTATTTCGTGAAATATTGCACACAGGTAAGAAGTGAACATGCCACAGTTTTAAACTGATGGGCGCAGCCATGTTTGTTGTCTTGCCTCCGGTCACCACAGAGCGGTTCCTCCTTCTTGTTTCTCTTTCGTGCTGTGGATGTCTACTTCCAAAGTGATGGAAATACCAACGCGCTGATTGGGCGACTTGGCTTTTCTGCACAAAGCATGAGACGTAAGCATCGGATCGGAGTTTAGTTTGCTAAGATAAACCTAATCCCGAGTAAATCTTAATGCTTTGCATCGGCTGTACCGTGTATACAAATACACTCTTTTTATACTACTGTACTACTATAAAACTATTGTAGGCCTTTTCTAGATAGAAGCAAGGACTAGGCCTAGACGGGACGATGATGGAATGGAACTGCAGGGATAAGCACAGTCGGCTGGCGTTCGGACGGATGGTAAACAAGCCTAGGCCTATATAAATTGCCTTCGGGAGATGGAGTTTTTGAGTGTTTTGTAAAAAAAAAAAAAAATCAGGTCGGGGGCTTTTCCGACGGTCGGGTGGGGATGCTAACCAATTGTTTTATTTTACGTGGCCTAATAGTAATAGTGTAGTTTTATTTAGCGCTGGTATCCATCAAAAAAGATGCTCATGGTGCTAGCTAACTGGTGTAAGTTTAAGAAAAGATTTTAACTGTCCACATGACGAACCGATAATGGGAAACATAGGCTTTTTTCACTTTTTTAGGGCTGGTCCAACTTTGAATGGATGTCATTCCATTTTAATTCATTTGATCAGCCTGTGCTTGCTTGTGGCTAGACAACTACCCATAGATAATATATCTGTAATTTAAGATGTATACACACACACAAGTGGCTATTTTGAGTGCAGGTAACTTAAAAAAAGAAGGGATAACAGTTAATCTGATGCCATATTTGTGTAATATGGTGCAATATAAGTTTGAATACCAAGTTTGACCTTGATAGCTATTACCAATCCCTAGTTATAAGCTTCAAAAGTTGGAGGAAATTGCATTTTCGCATTTTGAAGAGCCACGCCCCTTTTTTGGGGATGACGTGTCAATATCTCAGGAACTACATGTCCAGTAGGGCTAATCTTTTGTGTATGTTGATTTTTAAGAAGTTTCATAAAAATTGGAGACGGTCGACCTGGGACCTCTGGTTGATTTGACACGGAATTACCCAGGTAATTTTAAAGCCAAAATCGGTCTGGTGGACCACCGATTTTGTCCCCGGACCAAATTTTTCCTGACAGGCCTATAGTCAAGCAAGCATCGTAAAAAAAGACAAAATAAATAATACCCAGCCTGAAACATACACACCAAAAAAAAAAAAAAAAAAATAAAAAAAAAAAAAATGAAAATACAGAACCATTTAAAAATTACTATCCAAACATAAAGCACTAAATGTGTACATCGGCGTTCCATACTGAGGCTATTTATCGCGACTGAAATGCGTAACAATACGGCGAAATGGAGGCGCGGCCGACTGTATTCGGCCTACCAACCGGGTGATTCAGCAGGGCCAAGCCTACTACTACTACGCTTAGTACTAGCCTAGCTAGATAGCCTAGGCAATATATTTAGACCAGGCCGAGGTAGGAAGGAAGGAGGCATCCCTAGCTAGAATCACCACTACTTACCAGAGGAATATCCTAAAAATACGCTGCGAAAATAGAAGCTAGTACTGTACTCAGTGTATGAAGGCTTTCCCTCCCCTCTTCCTTGGATGACGATCACTTCCCAATTCCACCGCGCCGTGGCGTCTGGAGTGAAACGTCTAGAGCGGGAAATTCGTATGAATGGATTGCCGGTTATTGTTGTGTTCCCCTAGCTAGGCCCTAGCCTACCTCTCGTTAATATATGATGATGATGACTGATTCGGTTAGACCGAATAGGTAATGGCATAATATTTCGTCTGTAATGTAAGATTGTAAAGTTTCAGTTCAAGTATTTTGATGTAGCCTAGGCCTAGCTAGCCTATGAGTAGGCTAGCTAGGGCCAGGCCCGAGGGCGAGCACCATGCAGATCGAAGGCTGCCAGGCAGAGGCTGCCCGGGAGAGTGCTGTGCTGTGCTGTACTGTACTGTACATAGAGAGGTGTACTACTAGGAGTAGTAGGCCTACACGTAGGCCTAGACCATGAATGTAGCCTTAGCTGGACCAGGGAGGTGTAAAAAAAATTTGTAATCTCCCTGGCTGGACCTTAATATTATGCCTATTTGGTGAATCCTATTTAGCCAATTAAGATAAGTAGATTATTTCATATTTAGGCCCTATATTAATATAGGCTATTAATTATAGTTTGTCTCAAAATCAAATACATACAAAAAATGAAATTAAAAATGTAACTCTGCTCAGGAATTTGAAAAGTGTTCGATGGATGGAGCCTGCTGAGGAAGGTGTGCAATTTCCTAGCCAGACAGGGAATTCTGAGAAATTCCTGCTATCAGGAAGGAGGTTAATTTTTTCCAGGGGAGAGAATTTCCAGTTAAATAATGAGATATTAAACTTTCAGCCTGATGAAGGAGAATACGTATTAAATGAGTGAATATACCAATCCACAAGAATAGTGTTGAATATTTCGTCGTATCAACGACACATCAGCAACTGAGACAGGAATTAGGTCCTTCATCATGACAGTGAAAAATCAAGCGATATTTGTTCAACTCATGTTTCAGCATGATGTTGAAATTTCACCAGGGCAGGGGAGTAGGGTAGGAAATTTCCTGGCATGGTTTTGGGATTAATTATTCAGATGTATTACTGTGACTTGGAATCTTCCTTTTTTTTTTCAGATCACGCAAGATTGTTGACTATACATTAATTGGAGGAGATGAAAGTGATGGTACAAAAATCACTGATGTATTTATACATACAAAAGCATTCTAGCCTTCTATATTGTTTTTTCCCTATCAATATATAAACTTACAAAATAATGTTTCATTTAAAAAAAAAATGAAATATTTAAATACTAGTTATGGCAGTGTAATTGCAATTTGTATTTCTTTTACTAAATATGATTATCTCTCTTGGTGCTGGGTGAAAATCCATCCTTTTACAAGGCAACTACAAAACCCCATTAAGGCAATCAGTCATACAGTGGTCCCTTATTTTTACTAATTATTGTTAATTATTGTAATCTTCTCCCTATATCTATGCAATAATTTATTGTAAATTCCCATCAATATTTAAAAGGTGTAATGTGGTATGCCTAATTGTTATGCCTTGTTTTTTTCTTAAGTGACTATGATCCTAATTTAGCAGCACATACACCATGTGTATTTTGTATTGAAACAAGAAATTATTTAATCTCATAGATATATTATACTTATAATTTATGCTGCAGATGATTTTGATGTTCCAACTCCACCACTTAAAAAGCCTAAGGTAGACAAGAAAGCCAAAAATAAATTGATGCAACCTGCAAAAACCAAGCCAACAAAAGAGAAGAAAGCAAAAGAAAAAAATGTGGAACAGCCAGTGAAGCGAGACAGGTGTGTGCTTATTGAATTTTTTCCTCACCATGAGTCTGTCAGACTAATGTTTGATCAGATTTATTTAAAGACTAGTAGGTCAGGTGGTCAATGACATGGTTCCCAAGACTAGAACATCCACCAAACTGTTGTAATATATACAAAATAAAATAAATGATTTTTGGTAAGAGAGCTTTTGCAATAGCAGCTCCAGCTTTGTAAAACACCATATCAATGTCCATCAGATAGTGTGTTACTTTTATTATTATTATTATTGTTATTATTTTATTCAGGCACATAACACATGCACCAAGGATTGTCAACACTGTCCTACTTTGTAGGTGACAATCCCTTTCACAAGACAAACATACACACATGATGCTCTACACAAACTAAATCTCAATATGAGGTTTTAGGGAGTAGAGTTGTTTTGGTCATGAGAAAAAATCCTGCAACTGAGAGGAATTGAACCCAGGACCCTGGGATTGGAATGCAAGCATCTTAACCAAAGCTATTCAACTCCACTCCGACTACATTCCAACTACATTCCGACCAAGAAAAGAGCTTCCTTTTTAATCAAGTTTTTCATTAATTTAACATTGCATCATTATTCTGTTTTTATATAACTGTGCATTGAGAGCTTGCGTATATATGCGCTGTGTAAGAATGAATTATTATTATTATTATTATTATTATTATTATTGTATTTTTTTTTCTATTATTGTTTTTTTTTTTCATTTTATTTTTCAAATTTCCTTCACATCCAAAAGCAAGCACACTCAACCACTTACAGGATGGAATGAAGCTTTGTAAGGCTCTTAATGAGGCTTTAGGAGTGGATTTATTTTTATTCATCAGAAAAAAACAAATCCTGCAGTAACAGGGTTTGGACCCAGGACTTTAGGATTGAAAAGCATCTACATCTTCACTCTTGACTTTCAGATCCTTTTTTTTTTTTTTTTTTTTGTAGGGTGTCTTTGGAAAAATTGGAAGAACAGTCATTTGAAAGAGAGCTGCGAAGGGTGATGGAATTATCAAAGCAAGAATCCCAAGGGAACGAGAAAAAGGAAAACAAACACAACAAAATAGAAGCTGAAATGCACAACCAAGGTTCATGCTTTTTTTTTATTTTAACATTCTGAATTTTATACCTTGTTTTTGGTTGTAATGCAACCTTATATATGATATTTGTCTGCGTGGAGATAGTGAACTTTAACAAATACAATACTCATTTGAATGATATATTTGTATATTTAAGTACTGTAAGTTATTGATATTAATTGAGAATTAGAATGTGAAAATATTTTCCTCACCTAATATCAGATGAATAAACATTCTCATATTCTTTTTTTAAATTCGTTGGCAATCAGTAAAGGATTATTAGTAAATATTTTAAATAAGCAAGCAGTTATTTGTTTTAATTTCCCAACCATGATTTGAACCCAGCATTCTCCAGTTACCTTTGTGATAGGAAAATCTAAGGGAGTACAATATACCAGCTTGACCTCATAATTCAGTTGGTCGAACATCCACAGAGTACAGTAATTCAATAGCCAAACATGTCTAAGTTGTTAAAATGGAAGGTTACTGTATTCCTAATGGAAGCATGCACCATACAAGAAGAGTGCATTTGCTTAGGCTTGCATTTTTTAATGGTATTCAAAAATTATTACTGGGTTTGAAACATGTGAAACCAAAGGGAATGCCAACAATTTTGGTTCACTTTCCTAGGGGAACAGCGATTGGAAATAGATAAAGAAAACAAACCATCTGCTGTGACTGTTACATCTGCAACGTCAGTGCCTCATCCCCAACTAAATCAAAATTTTGTCACCACTAATCAAGAATCAGGCATTGAGGTCTTGGAAGAAGATTTCAGAGAGGACGCCAGACCATCACGGAGAGCAGCTTCCAGAAAGTCTTTAGCAGAGGTCTATATAGATGATGATGATGATGGAGATGATGATTTTTATGTTGGTTAGTATTTCATTATGTGATTTAAATTTATGATGTATGTAATATACCGTATTTGAATTTGAATACTCTGAGCATTTATTGTTGAGAAGGGTTTTTTAAAGGTGGGTATATTAGAGACATTTATACAAGGGAAGCATTTATTTTTTGGGGTGTAACATGGATACATCGTGGAGGAAATAATATATTTCCTCCATGGGTACATATACATTAAAATAATGCCCCTTAATTTCACTATAATATATGGAACTATAACACTGACAAATGGTCATAAAGACTTATTGATCTGAACCAAGTTAAGAAAAATGTAATTATATTGGAGTAGAACATGCCCTGGGGCATTTATTCGAGGGAGGAGTTTATTCCAAATGAGGGTCTAGTGGGGCGGAGGGGGAAGTGTTTATTTAAAGCAGGGCATTAATTTGAATAAATACGGTAATAGTCTTTTCATATCTGTATTTAGTTTGTTAGTGTGTTTGAAAAATATTGATATAAATATAGCATTCGATTTTCATCTCAACTTACCTTATATTTAGGTGATGTAGATAATGGTAGTGATGGCAATTTCTCTGATGATGGTGATGAAAGTGACTATGAGATATCAACATCAAAAAAGAAAAATTTGAAGGAAAGTAAAAAGAAAACAGTCAAAAATAAACCAAAAGAAAATAGTAGTTCCAAGAAATCTAAAGCAACTTCAGGTATGTACTGCAACATTTCCTTTTAAAGAAGAAATTTACTGATTTTATATATTTGATAACTGATTTAGCATTCTCAGTTACAATAATATCACCTTTTTAAAATTATGAATTTTGTGCAAATGTTGTTTCATTTTTGAGAATATACAATTAGGAGCCATTTTAATATTCACAATTAAAATTTCTAGGAAGAGGGATTCTCCTTAAAAATCTAGGAGTTTGTTGGGAAACAAATAAAGTAACGTAGTAAATGATCTGTAATCAAAGTGGAAAATGGAAAATATTAGATTAAAGTCTCCCGACATCAAGATTTATATTTTATCAGCAGCCAGTGTGCCAACAATAGTGTTACTAAGTAACAGTAATACTGATGTAATAATGATTATTATGATTATAACAATTACAAAATAAATGATTATTAATAATGATTTACAATTATTTGATATGCATCTTGCAGGTAAATCATCCAAGAATAAAGCATCACCAGCCAACAGCAACACATCAAGCAACATACATCCAACAGCACCCATTCCAACAAAAAGAGCTGCCATTCCAGCTACAATTAAAACAATAGGAAAAGGGTTCACACCACCAGCAACCAGTGGTACATCGATGTCTGTCACCATCACACCTAAACAGATCAACAGAAAACCAATACTCCCTTCTCCTGGTAAGAATATTATCTTAGTTCTTTCACTTCCAATAATGCCATTAAAGTTTAGTTCCAACAACTTGAGCATCAACAAATGCAAACAAGGAACTCAGTCATAGACATATGGGCCTCCCGAAAGTGAAGACTTTTCCAAATTTATGGAGTTGGGAAGTGGACTTATACCTGGCTAAAGTGTCTTGTATGAAAATTAATCAAAATAAAAGGGGAGCTTTTATCTGAAAAACTCAAGTAAAATAAATCTAAATTATGAATTTACATATATAAAAAATTAGGTACTGTACATGTATCAATTACAATACGGAATTATGTCATACTCTCTATAAACTATGATGATAATAGTAATACAAATTTATATATTGTGTCAATAAAAAAAATAAGTGTTTAGCCCTGTTGCATTGACTTAACGATAGTTACTTTTAAATTTGATTTCATTGCAGGTGGACCTAATCCCTTGGGAGGCGTGAAGCTAATATCACCAGGTCAACCTCGACGCCTTGGACTGTCTCGCTTTGCCAGGGTTAAACCTCTTCATAACCTACAACTGCCAACGTGACACGCTTTTGGTCACCTGCGTACTAGTATTTAAAGGATAGAACTCCAAAGATCTAGTCAGCTGTTACCTTGCATGTATTAAAAAATCAAAATCATTAGGCCTTCTTCTATATGGCATCATAACAGAGGCGGCTCAAAGGATCTGTCCAAAGTAGTCCAGCTCTTTGAGAGGTGTTCTGAAATTTTTGTATGTTGGGCAGCGTGGTCAGACAGCAAAGACCCAGGAGTAAAAAAATGGGCATTTTTGGGCCATTTTAGGCTTTTCAGAGACATTTTACAGTGTAAAATACACAAAATATTTATATAGAAAAAAAATTGACTTGGCCTGTCTCTGACTTTGGCTTAAGTCACTGCCCTCCCCCATTGTACTACCGCATCATAGGTATTTGTAAAAAGTGTGGGTTATATGTATGTAGCAAATCAGAGATCTTGTATACAGTTTATTTAAAATAAGGTAAACTGCTCATCTCTAGGTAAATATGGGTTTAAGCAGGCCTCCTACAGGAAACTAAATAATAAATAGCAGTAATAGTAAATTAATCTTGTACATTAATAGTACATGCAAGATATCCTAATGACCATTTTAATATATTATAAATATTTTAATTGGCTGTAAGTGGTACAGTATTTAAAAATCTTTTTTTTAAAAATCAAATACCAACCTGTCATGATTATTTCAATCATGTTGGTTGATTTCAATCAATGTTGGTTTTTATTTGGTATCTAAACATATATTTGATTATGCCTATTATTTTCCTAATTTCTTGTATTAACAGAGCAAAGAAATAGGCAAAACATACATTTTTTAACAAATGGAAATTGGTTTTGGTTTGTGTAGTAAGCCTAATCATCGTTATAAATAAATAAATAAATTACAAAATAAAAAAATTATTTATTATGAATTACATAAATTGTAAACCAGTACTGAATTTGTTGTCAGCAAAAAGATCGATTAGCATTTTCTTGCTGACAAAGTAGGCCTTCTCACCTTAACTTGTTACAGAAACCATGGTCTTTGTATTCAGGGTTTAAAAGTGAGTGAAAGGCCTACTGGGTATGCAGTCTGTAATTATTTGGCTCAAAGAACCATTTGACGTGATGTAATTCTATACGGTGTTTATATAGCGTCTTGTGGATTAAAGACCCCTCAAGAAGATGTAACCTGGGGCTTAATTATAGTATAAAACAAGTAAAATACAAGAATACCATCAATTTGTTTGGTTGTGATTATACATCAACATGCCAAAACACCAGTAAACAGTAAACAAATTCTTATAAAAGTACGGTTGGTCAAGTAAACCACAGCAAATATTGTTACAGCCCGTGACAGTAAATTATAAATCTGTATGTGGCCTGCCTATAATCTTCAACCTAGTGCACATGCACAAAGAAAGCATTAAATTTTCACCCATTTTAATGCCCACCCTGTTAAGAAGAGTACCACAATTTTTTTTTTGGCGGAAAGACAGTCTGCAATAATAATGCAACATGACGTAATACTGGTACTGGATATTATTTTAAAAATTGACATTCACATCATAGGTGACTGTCAGCACTTCTTTGTGTACACTACACTCTAAAGTTACCTGTTCATGGATCATCACTTTGTAGAAAAATACAATTAAAAAAATATTTTGAGGAAGCTCATTAATTCCCTGAAATTTTGGTAATTTTTTTTGATGCAGCTGCTACTTGTGCCCCATCAACTCTACTGTAGCATTGCATTTATCCACTCTACACACTCGTTGCTCACACAATGAAAGTAGATATGTTCGTGAAAACGTGTTATTACTAATTTTTTGTGTAGATAGAAAATTGCTTGACAATCAAAAAATGCTTATTTGACATGCTTTTTTTTATTTTCACGAAATAACACAAGCTGCTATGATTGTGTGAGCGACAACATGCGCGCTTAAATACACGTTGTAACATGACATAAAACCAGGCATTTATCCCATGATCAAAACAGCTGGAATAATTTATTGTAAATGATATAACAATATATTAAGCAGTCTACAATCTTCTTCATCTGCCATTTCAATATGGACATTCAAAAAAATAGGACAAGATTTATCCATTTGATTAAAACAAGCTTTCAATGATAAAGACAACATTACATTTTGTTCTCAAATAAGAATTGCATAAAAAAACCAAAAAAATTACTAATTGGTAACTTGAGAAAGAAATAATATGACTCAAAATTACTCATAAAAATTAACTAAAGGAGTACAGCAGTTATATTTGGTCGCAATACCCCTTCACATGAAAATAAAAACTAAACTAAAAAATACCCCAGACATAAAACCATCCACACACAGGAGTTTAAATTATTACTAACATATAAATACAACAGAAAGTGTAAATTTCATACCATTGATTGCACTAGCGAATATATACAAAATCATTGTATCATACAACGATCCATCCCTGTTTACAAAATGGAACAAACTTAACATACTAAAAGGGATTGCAAAATGTTTTACTATGGATTGTATAATTCGTATTTTACTCTTAATTTACGAAAGTTCTTCACAGTTAGACCAAGCTAAATATTGCTCTACAACAACAGTTTAATTTTGGTAATTCCCACCATATCAAAAGCAATTTATACGCCATGAAAATGATAGTACAATAATGTGGTTTGGTGGGTAAGATGCCTTCCTTCGAATCCTGTGGTCCCAGGATGAACAAACCCTAATTGAGTGTAGTTGTGGTCTGGTGGGTAAGCTGCTCAACTTCCAATCTCAGAATCTGGATACGAATCTTGTTCAAACCAGGCAGAACATATCCCAAAATATCCTAGTTTAGAATCTAAAATATTTTACACCGACTTCTAGTCTAGTCTCGGTGATCACAAACCTATGCATTTAAAAAAAATTATCATCAGAATTCGTCCCAACAATGTTCAGTATAAATTCAAAACTACAGCTATGAACAGTGACGTATCTAGGAGGGTGCACATGGAGCATCCCCCTGCTCTGTAGCAAAAAAAATCAAGTTCAAGCAGTTAATCACCATTATTTTGCTGACTCCACCTTTTGCGCCCCATCAGCCCCACCCCCATTTCAAGGCTCCAAGATACGCCACTGGCTATTAACAGCTACCAAATTTGATAAGAAAGACAATTACATTGACTTCGAATAACACACTGTAGGTGCTAATACATACATATGTACCATCATTATTTGACAATATGGTAAATTATCCCATGTACCACTAAACATGTGCAAACTTCATACACAAATTACACATTATTCGCCATCGTGTGCCCATGATAAAACTTCTAATTGCATAAAATCTAAAGTGAACTGAACAAATAAATTCCAAAAAGTAATCATTACCAATCAACAAAAACGTAAATATATATGTTAAAAAATAGCCAATGAGAGTAAAGGTAAAAAGTGCATTTTTTATATAAGGTGAATGGTAATTAAAAACATTGATAATTGGTATAAGAAAGAACTGGGTCAGACCTAGATGTACAAGAGTAATGAGCAACAATTTATGGAGGGGGATCAGGACTAGACGTAGGAGGGGTAACATGCTACAGTTTATGGGGTTACTGTTGGATGCTAATAAACAACAATTAATGGGTAATAGTTTAGGAGGGGGAGAGGGGATATAGGAGTGCTAAGCAACATTTTTGGCATTAAATATATATTTCCTAAGTTTCTGTTAACCCAAGAAAATACTTTAATTGAAACTCCACTTATGGATAAATTATTTTTCTTACTAATGATGCATTCCAAATACCTTCGTGAATGTCATAATTATGAGCATTGTTTATTGCAATGTAATTTACACATAGTAGAAAAAATAACATAATTAATTATAATAAGAATAATAATAATATTTAATAAAGTATTAATTAAAAAAAATAATAGACAAAATTTAATACAATGAAAAATTAATATTAATTACTGGCTATGTATATATTGTAATAGAAGTAATAAATAATATTGGCAATGCTAGTAATTCAAATATACTGATATTGTGTCTAATATATATTTAAGGAATAATCATAATAATAGACAAATATCGGCATAGTATAATAATATTAATCATAATTAAAATATGAATGCATGTGATTTAGTGATTTAAAATTATTGATGTTATTTTACACCAAACATCATATTTCCTGTTATGAATTTAAGTTATTTTATTGCCTCCCCTATGCTCTCAATATTACTGAGATACGATCGCTCATGTTCATAATAATTTTATTAGTTTGCTATTTTATTGCCCTCCATAAGCTTTCATTGATATTATTACAGAAATTGTCATGTTCCCAGTTACTAGTGCTCTACACTATTACCCTCCAATTAATGTTCTCATTGATACTATTATACCACTAGTGCAAATCTATAATGCCCTCCAAACGCTTCACTGTTAATGATATAGTATTTGTCATGTTCCCAGTTAACACTTTACAACTACATTGCCTTCCATATGCTTTCATTATGCATACACCTTATCTTATCCTTTATGTAATATATTTTAATTCATATTATTACCAATAACAGTAAATAATATTAATCACAATCTATATAATTTTCAGCTACTAATATGTACTATTTACATAATTACTGGAATGGAAACAATTTACTTAGAAAAAGCAGATGTCTGTGTTTTACTACATCTCTTAAATATACTACTCTAATGTGAACTGTTATTACTACGTTCCACGCATCACCAACAGTAACAAATGAATTAATTACGATGAATTATTAATTGTGATGAGATTTTGTATAAAATGTGCATTTAGACAATTATTCAAAAACTGTTGATGACCCAGATGCATTGTGGGAAACACAAAATATGTAACTCCATAGATTGTTAAATGGTCTTATCAACTCTCAATGTGGCTTACATGTGCTTAAATAGATGATAATCTACATGTACCAGGTTTATATTACTTTACAATTTAGATTATTATTTAGATACCAACTTAATTTATGCTTTTAAAGGTTAAATGATTTCTTTAGATTACCTTTTCTATAAATTAGATGATTGGCTACCAAATTTACTATTTTAAAAAGACAGATGATTTTTTAATGTACCAAACCTATTTAACCTTTTAAAAAGAGGGAAATGCTATATTAATTTGATAATGAGAACATCATTAAAATTTTAATAACAGATTTCAAGAGATCAAAATGTAAAGCAGTTTGAATTCTTTGAAGATTACTTAAAAACACAAGCACACATAAACTTCTATGGAAATATATCCACATAAATAACAATGTGATGTTGTAATGACACTCAAAACCTAGTGCAATCAATCAACCATTAATCTACACCTATAACATTTTAAAAAGATTGCTTTAAACAATACACACGACACTTAAATATGTTATTGCTATTTCAATCATATTGCAATCGTTGATTCGTCTTTTTGAATAAATATAAGAAGGATCAAAGATCGCATCTTGAAACAACAAAGTGCGGTAAACCTAATGGGCAAGTGTTTGCTGGTACACACACTCAACAACGTACTGAATGTTAATGTGCCAAAAAAGACCAATTTATGTCTCTTTAAAAAGAATTTAATTAAAAAAATTATACTTCGTAAAGATTTTTCACTTGTTACCTTAATACATATTCACTCAGGTTTTTTTTTTTTTTTTAAGGTTTAGGTCAGAGTGTACTTATTTCTGCTGAAATATTCACAATTTGTCTTTGTTTTGACTTATTCTTGATTTTGTTTTTGTTGGCTTTACTCTATAAAATATTAAACACTACAATTTAATTCAGCTGTTTATGACTATAACTTAAAAAATCATCAGGTAATGATGATTCGTAGTTAAACCTGGAACCAGACTGAGTTATAGTGGTGTTGACATCATTATTATAAGTAGATTATGTCTGTAAAATTACTTTTAAATGTAGAGTCGCTCCAGTATAAGTGATGTCATCTGTGGCGATTCCTTTGAACTTTATTACAGGGTATATTAATTTGTGGTGTTATCAAATATTTTAGAGGTGATATCATTAGGTGTATTAATGGTGATGTCATCAGTGATGATGATGATGATGTTATCAGTTGTCAAGAGATTTCTTATTGATAATATCTGGTGATACCTGATGATTTACTGGTGATGTCATCAGATGCTTTCGTAATGATGTCATTGGATGTCTTACTGGTGATGTCATTATCTACCTTTCTGATGATACTTAGCATGTGTCTTATTGGTCATCTTATATCTTACTGACGATTGATGACATCAGATGATTTATTGGTGATGTCAACAGATGCATTAGTGATGTCCTCAGGTGTCATATTGGTGATGTCTTCAGACACCTTAGTATGATGTTATAAAGTGTCTTAGTGATGAGAACATAACATATATTGGTGATGTAATATTGGTGATGTCATCAGATGTCCTATTAATGTTATCATCAGATACCTTACTAGTGGTGGTGTTATGTGTCTTTACTGATGTCATTAGATGCCATATTGGTGATGTCATCTGATGCCTTATTGGTGATGTCACCAGGTGCCTTAATGGTAATTTCATTTGATGCTTTATTGATAACATCTCTCTCATATTGGTAATGTCATCAGATGTCTCATATAGATGTCTTCAGATGCCTTGTTGGTGATGTCATCAGATGATTTTAGTCACTCAAATCAAATTCAGTATTTAATTGGTGATGCAATCCTGTATTTTATTAATCCATTCATCGGCTTCCTTTTTGTTTTTGGCAAGAAAATGGTAATCCCTAGTACTTGTTTTCATCTATAAAAAAAAAGAATTAATAAAAAAAATTAATTTTAAATGAAACTCTGTATATTGATAAATTTTTTAAGTAATCCTTAAAAAATTCCTTCATACATTGTCAGTGGCATTCTTAACGGATTATTATTAACAACGATCCATTACACTTATATTGTGGAATTGCGTTCTCCATAGAGTTGCATTGGCTGACGGGAACAGTGGGCGTCCAGTTTATTTGTTCATTTGTGCGTGTTTATTTTTTCTGTAGACTTACATAAATGAAAGAATTGTCATCTAGCTTAGGTACACCCGGCAAGTTGCTGGAATAGTTGTCATGTTTCACACTCTCTACTTCTTTTAGATCTATGGTGCCTTTACAGGTCTGAACATCGTCCGTATCATAGTAACGAAGCTACAAAGCAAAATGTAAACACATGCTTAAAGTGCAACTGCACAGAACAATAGCATTAATACTAATATGCAGTGCATCAAACTGAAATTAAATTGTAATTACGATCTGATGCCCTTGTACAGCAACCTCATGTCGTGATCATACTGTACAAAGCAGTAAAAATGTTGTGTTGGTAACATATAAAAAATTAGGTAAGATACTGGTAATGGTACTTGTAGCCGTCTGATTTCAGACATTTGGCAGTCATTGACATTATGTTGGCGTAATAGGTTTTATTATATGTAGTTAATAAAACATTAATAAATAACTACAAAAAACAATATGAAAATGTTATATAAAATAAGAACAAAATATCATAAAGATATTTAGTATTAAAAACAATCATGTAATAATAAAATAATATATGAAAATATTTAAATATTAATAAACACAATATAATTGAAAAATTGTAATTGTTGTTTATTTGTAACTCAGTAGTGTTATTTTTTACATAGGAAAAATTTTAGCAATCTACAACACTAAGTAAATTTAATCTTCAAAAATATTCATATGACCAATAACAATAGATTAGAATACCTGGTGTTTATTAGGATCCAATTTGAAGTATCTTTGTTTCCATTGACGTAATCGAGCCCCTCGTTTGTATAAGTAACCTTTATGACTAACTGTTTCACCAATTCTGGCAGCAAAATTTAGGTAGGTATCTGAAAAAGGAAAAAAAAAAAATCCAGTGATATTACTTCATTACCTGAAGTTAAAAACACAACAATCAGAATAAAAGATAAATTTCACCAGATGTGGTATTAAACAGAATGTAGTTATGGTAAATATTAAGGAAAGCACTTATATACTATTAAGGGGATACTTTCAGGTGTTAATTTATTACTTTATTTTTTAATAAAATAACACAAAAAAGGGGTCTCCTTAATAGGGTTTTTATTGTTTACAAGTTCTAAATACAAATAATAGAATTAATTAAGAATATAACTTATATATTGTAGAACCCTATTAAGGGGACACCTTTGGGTGTTGCCATAATAGGGGGTGTCCTATGAATAGGGTTTGTACTTTTCCTTATTTAGTGCCTGAAAAAGTGTCTCCTTTTTACGGTTGACCAAATGGAGGGGTTCTACTCCATAATCAAAAGGGATGCAGACGTACAACTCAGATTTGATTTGACAAAAACATGTGACCTGCCTAAATATGGTCATAGTAGTCTGGACAAAGATTTAGAGATAATGGAATATTTTTTTTTTTTTTTTTTACTTTATTTGTTTATCCTCGTATTTGAAAACGAGAACTCAATATCCACCAAACTATAGCTCCCTATTATTAGGATGTCTGCACATAGAACAAAATTCTAAACAAAGTTCTAAAATTATGGTGTTGACTTACTTGGGTCTTTATCATTATTGATTGGCACACTTTTTGTGAGTTCTTCAGTCTGTTTACTACTTGTATTACTTGGTTCTTTGGATGAGCCGCGTCGTAAACATTGCTTTGGCGCTGATGTGATACACTTCTCATGTGAACTAAAACCGCAATCTGCACATCTCATCCCTGTAAAATAATAAATCAATCAAATATATCACATCTTACAACACACTGTTGTGTAATGTGCTTACATAAGCGCATGATGATGTCATTAAATCCAAATATGGGCATATGACAGTTTTTTGTCGCAACTGATGCAGATTGTCAAAAAACTTTCATTGGATTGGTTACGTACTCTCAATATTTCTAATAAAAGCTAGAAATATTTGACGCAGAACTTTATGAAAGCAGTGTTTCTTCACATAAACATTAAATTGCATACATTAAATTGTATAGCGATTTCTTACCAGTTCCTTGTTTCATATAGCTCCAGATCACCTGATGACAAGCGTCACAATTGGTTGGTGTCTGGAAGTCATGTGACTCAAATCGGTGGTGAGACGCAAAACCTCTAGGGGATTCCCCTCCACTCTTACCCTTAAAAAAAAATGAAACCAAATTGAAATTATTATATAATTGTCGGATTCGAACTTTGAAATGAACGTCTGGATGTAAAACATTCATGCTGCACGCTACACCTATTTTGGTAATTAGTTTGGGGTTGGGGCGCAGCAGGTTTGAATGCTGGAATCTATCAGTAGACAATAAAAAAAGTGGTGTGTAGCTGTGCTTGATGCCTCAAATGGTTAACTGAGTTAATGAATTTGTTTGATCTTGTAATGAATTTGAATTAGTATAGTATTTAATAACAATCCAAAAAAATAAATATATGGTGATGTTAATCATGTTATTTGTTATAATCGATCAAGTAATGTAGAATATCGCATTGTTCATGGTTGTGGTACTGCTTTATTAGTGGCAATTATTTGTGGTAATTAGTTATGATATTGAATTCTCTGTTTGTTTGAGAACACAGTATAGAACATATATTTAGTAGAAAATCTGTTGTTTAATTCTGTTGTTTTGAGAAGTATAATGATCTACGATTGGATAATTATTGTGTATATTGTGAGGACTGTTAAATTGAGTATGGTATTCTTGCATCTTTATTGTTAACCTTAAGTAAAATCAAGATGGCCAATTATTTATTGAATTGCACTATTGTTGTATATCTAAGATTTAATCACTGTGATGATGGTTAGTTCTGCTGTTTGAATTTAGATTCATCTTTAGTATACTATATGGAGTAACATATAATAACTTCAGAGACCGATGAATGATGTGCTTCTGTTTTGCAGGGTTCTGATTGTCCTTAACTTGTTGGGGTATTTCCTTGTTCGTCAATTTTTGATGTTTTGCTGTTTTGAGTTTGCTGATAACTTCCTTGCTCCAATATATGAAGTTGAAACGTACTGCAGTCATTTGTTTTGCGTTCATGTCTTGAGAATGGCGACTGGCACCAAGTGACATAATTATTATATCAAATATATTAATTCACTTTGTAAAAGACTCAATAAAAACGATAAAATATGTTATTTGTTATAGGGAACCTGGGATTCGATCCCATTACCTTGAAACCAACTGCAATATTGTTATATTACCATAATAATGTCATAAAACAAAAAAAATGAGTTACTATTAATTAATTGAGGTATGCCCAAACCAGCGTACTCTCACTAATTGTTAAATTGAGCATAAAGAATGTGCCAGATTGTACAAGTTAATACACAGAAGCCATAATACTGTAATTTTACTTTATTAAACTTTGACAATAGTAAGTAGATTTCAGTAAATGACATTTCAAATCTTACGATGTGGAGAAAATTAATATATTAAAAAGTGTCAATATCTTGTTTTGGTCATAGATGCTGTTTTTTTTAATGGCATACCCCTATTATTTAAGTAAATTATTTAATCCCTTATGTGCAATTTATGAGTCACTGAACATTTTACTCTGGTGTATATATTGGCGCTTTATAAATCCTTCTTAATTAATCCATTGATTGATTGATTGATTGATAAGAATATAACAATAAGTGTAAAATTATCTCACCCTGAGGATATCCATTGTAATTTTCTTGTGGATTGAGGTTCCATGGGCTTTAGCTTCTTCAGTTACTGGGGAGACTAACTTTGCTTTAGATTGCATCGATGCATTGAACTTATTAATAATTGTTCTCCAGTGAGAGGTAGCAACATTAAGGTCTGTTTCCAACTGGATTATTTCCTGAAAAAGAAAAACAATCAAAAAATTACTTAAATTGATTAAAAAATACAAGGAAATGTTCTTGAAGAGAAGAAAAGGATCATTAAATCCATTATATGCAATTGGGCTTCTATAATGCTATCAACATAAATGTACAAGACCATACTGTAAGTAAAACTTTTACGATGATTGATTGAAAAATATACAACCTCCTTTAAAAAGAATAACATTAATTGTCATGAAGTCATGGACTACCTGTCCATGTGACTTACCTGTTGTATCCAATAAAACACTCATTGCTTTAAAAAAAAACCCACTGAGCTAAAAGCTGGACACACACTATAAGGTTTTTCTCTGTCAGTCTGTTTAAAAGACTTAATAAATGAAGTAAGTTTTAAAATGAAGAAAGATATACTAGAGAAAAGTGCATAATATTCAATTTGTTTTGTCTGTCAGACTCACTGAATGTTTGATCAGACATTTTGTGTATGTTTGTTTCAGAAATATGCCTCTGTCGAAAGTCATAATTTAATGGTGTCTTTCTTTAATTACTACGTGCCGATCCACTAAATTTTATGATCCATTTAGCTGGCTAACAGACAGACATAGAGAAAAGACAGACAGAAATGCAGGTAAAAAAACAACCTAATTGGCAGAAGTAATAACTTGCATTTAAACAATACTGGAAGCCAGATGAAGGACATATACACTTACATTGAGTAACCATCTCTGCATATCAGGATCAGCCTGGGCAACATTTTGATAACACGCATTGACAACACATCGGTCTGCAGGTGACAGCGGCGTCTCATTGTCCTCATTCCGTGCAGCATCAAACAACTCGCAGTCAAAAGCAGGTCCACAGCTCAAATGCTCATTCAGGTAAAAGTCCCAAATCTTCAAGCTTGATATGTTTGCATATGGTCTCAGAACTCTTGACTAAAAAAGCAATTTGAAATACGAATATTATAAACCCATGTTTGCTTATTAATATACAGTAGAACCTCGTTTTTACGTACCCCAGTTATACGAACC